GGAAGGAGGGCGACGCGGCGCGCTGGGGATGTGACCCCGCGACCAGGGAGGCCCCGTGAGTGAGCGCCCGCCCCGACCCCTGCGGCCCGGCGCACGCCGCCCTCCTTGCTTCCACTTCCACTCCTTCCGCCGTCCCCGCGTGGCAGCGTCCGGAGGCGAGCCCCGCCGAAAGGCAGGATAGCCACCGTCCTCGGTCCGGGGTAGGAGGCTCAAAGCTTCGAAAGTTGGGCTTGGGGTGGCGGTGGCGGAGGGGGCGTGTCTTGGAGAGCGGAAATGTCAGGCTGGCTGCTCTGGGTCACACGACCGGCCGAGCCCTGGGAGCCGGCTGGGGGAGCGCAGGGAGGCCGGGGGCGCGCGTGGGTAGCTGAGCGCCGGGGGGAACGGGGGGTCTTCGCCTCGACTTTTCTCTTTGAACTTTCCCCTGCTAGCGTCCCAGGCTGGATTCTGGGGTCAAAACGGGGCCAGGCCCAGGGAGTGGCAGGTGTGGCCTGGCAGGGGGCTAAATGTCAGAAACCGGCAGGGTCATCCTCGGGTCTTCATTTGGGAAGCCCAGATGCCCACCCGGGGAGTGAGCGAACCCCTGACCATTCTGAGAGTAAAAGGACACTCAGCATTAGGAAATGGGATCTAGGGGTGGTTCAGGGAGGGGGATAGAGGTTCTGTGAGAGTCAGAAACTCAGTGAGGGCCTGAGAGTGGGAAGTGAAGCAGACAGGAGAGCACCGGCCCTGCACCCACCCTCGAGCTTGTGTTTTCCTGGGAACAGGCTTAGGCCATGAAGTTCCACAGGAGAAAAGTAGCAGAACCCCCCAGCTGCTGTGGGGCTGGTCAGCGTGTCGAGGGCAGGAAGCAAGCAGATTGGGCTGTTTGGTAGGGAAGATGCTTCCCTGCTCCCTTCACAACCCTCTCCATCCCTGTCTCCACCAGACAGTTGACCAGCCAGTACAGGAGAATGGTTCTTCACTCTGTCAAGGGCTGAGCCCCACCTTATCCCGGTTCTCAGTTCTGCTTGCAATTTGCTATGTGAGCACAGGCTCCTCAGATTCCCATTTTGGGCCTCAGTTTCTCTACCTGTACAAGTAAGTTGAGCCAGGTGATTTCCCAGGGCTATTTCAACTCTAAGATTCTGAAGTCTAAGCTTTCCTTAAAGTCTGAGCTTTGTCCTAAGCTGAGGGTGGGGATGGAGACAGCAATGGTCAAAAAGTGGTCTCCACCCAAGGAGAAGGAGGTCTGGGTTCAAGAGAGGAGGCTGAGGGAGGAGGTAGCATTCAACCTGAGGATGTGTGGTCAGGCAGTCAGAGGGACCAGCACAAGAAAACACACAGTGTTCAGGGGCCAGGAAGAAACCCAGAGTAGCATGTACAGGGTGGTAGGAGTTGGGCAGGAAGGCAGGGAATGCCAGGGTCAGGGCCTGTTTGTAACTGTCAGTAAAGGGGCCATGTGCAAGTGAAGAACCCAGGGACCTCAACTAATTGCAGTGAGTGATTTTGGAAGCACCTGCAAAAGGAGCATTTAAAATGTAAATTGTAGCCAGCTCGGTGGCTCAGCCTGTAATCCCGCGCCTTTGGGAGGCTGAGGTGAGTGGATTGCCTGAGCCCGCGGGTTCGAGACCCACCTGGGCAGGCGAGACCTCATCTCTACAATAAAATCAAAAAATTAGCCGGGTGTGGTAGCACGCGCCTGTAATTCCGGCTACTCGGAAGGCTGAGGCGGAAGGATCGCCGGAGGCCAGCAGGTTGAGGCTGCGGTGGCCGGGAGTAACCACTGCACTCCAGTCTGGGTGACAGAGTGAGACTCCAACTCAAAAAAAATAAAAATAAAAAAATAAAATGTAAATTGTAAGTAAAGCATAGGCTTCTCTTTGCTCAGGAAGCTCAGATCCCACCCTGGGGACTTCTTTGGGTGAGAAGTTGAAAGGTTAGTGTAGATGAGATGACTTTCCACATCTTTAAGTTTTTTTCAAGCAGACAAGATCCTGTCCCTCTTCTCCAAATTGCTCTCATTTTACTTGATTGTCCCCATCCTGGCCTGTCTGTTGTGGGTACAAGAAAGGACTTTTCTTCCAAGCATCTCCTCTACTAGTTTTACTTGTTGCCATAAGTAACACCCCCCTCCTCAATATGTTCTGTGCCTTTGATTATACCTGGTTCCCACCCTCCCTTCCCTAATCCATTACCAGAAATTCGAAAAAGGAAAAGTGCTCTGGTGTCAGCCAGTCAGTGGTCAAGGCCAGGCTTTGTCTGTGGCTGTATTCAAGCCTCAACACAGGGCTGAGGGCTAGACTCAGGGCTCAGACTTACCAGGGTGTTCAGCTTGGAGCCAGAGCTCAATGCTTAGCTTAAACTCAGCCTTAGTGCTCAGACTGGGGCCAGAGCCATTGCACAGTTTGTGGCTACATTTCTGTCTTAGCAGGTACATGGTTCTGAATTTCGTAGTAGCTCACACACTTCCAGGGGAGATGAGATGACTACCCTGGAAGTCTCAGAAACCTGGCTATATCAGTGACCCAGGATTTGCACGGGCCAAGTCCATGGTGCTACAGGGATCACCAGTAAGCCAGTGGTAGAGCTAGGGTAGAACCCAGAACTCCCACCTCTGAGTGTGGGGCTCTGATGGCTGTTCCCCAAGTCTGTTCTTAATCTGGACTCCTTCAGTTCTATGAGGCAAAGCAAATTTATCTGAGCTCTAGATGGGCCCAGGTGGGTGGATCTAACGGTACTTTCCTAACTCCCAATGCCAAGCACATAGTAGGTGCTCAGGAATACCTACTGATTGTCTTGTGCAGGTAGAGGGGCCAGTGGCTCATTCAGATTTGGGACTGGAGGAGGCTGGCCTGGGGGAAGGATCTCCAGCCATTGTCAGAGGAAACAGCGCCCTTCTAGCCTGCTACCTTCCCCCTCCTCCAGCGCCTGCAGCCACATTCAGAGGCCGCCCAGCTGGCCACGTGAGGGCCCTTTCCTCTTTCAGGGTGAAAAGATAAAAAAAAGAAAGGACATTTTTGGTAGAAAAGTCCCTCCTGCTCCCTGGGAATCCCCGGTGGCCGGATGGACTGCGGGATATCCCAGAGGAAGCCAAAGGCTGGGCTTTGTTCCCTCCCCCCAGCACAGTGTAGCCAGGCTGTCCCACACTGCACCAGCTGGCCGATAGGGCTCCCAGAGGTCATCTCGTCCAGGCCTCTGTCTGCTGGTGTGCCTGCAGGGACTTCTATGACTTCTCTACTGATTAGCAGCCGGTCTGAGGAGCACCTGTTTGTAGCCCAGGCCCAGCCCTTTGTGAGATGCAGTAAAAGCAGAGAGGAAACAAAACCAGATGGGAGGGCTGTGGGGTGGGGTTTGGCAGGGGCACTAGGGTAGCCTTGAAAGGGGTTGGGGTGCTAGACTCAGGGGCTGAGGATTTGGATTCCCTGCAGAGGATAGAGTGGTTGAGCAAGGCTGAGAGGTGAGAGGGAAATGATGTATTGGGAAGTCAGAGCCCAGTTCATAAGGCTCTGACTGCCAGCTCCCCCATATCCTTGTCCCCGGCAGGGCATCCTCAGGTCCAAGCCCCTAGACATTGGCCCCAGGCCTGGCTTGGCCATGGCGCTGTGCCTGAAGCAAGTGTTCTCCAAGGACAAGACGTTCCGACCACGGAAGCGCTTTGAGCCCGGCACACAGCGCTTTGAGCTGTACAAGAAGGCTCAGGCCTCGCTCAAGTCTGGCCTAGACCTGCGCACTGTGGTAAGGCTGCCGCCTGGTGAGAACATTGACGACTGGATTGCCGTGCATGTTGTAGACTTCTTCAACCGCATCAACCTCATCTATGGCACCATGGCTGAGCACTGCAGTGAGACCAGCTGCCCGGTCATGGCTGGCGGACCCCGCTATGAGTACCGCTGGCAGGATGAACGCCAGTACCGGCGGCCGGCCAAGCTCTCTGCGCCACGCTACATGGCCTTGCTCATGGACTGGATCGAGGGCCTCATCAACGATGAGGAGGTCTTTCCCACACGTGTTGGTGAGCACTACCTGGACTGAGGGTCAGGAATGGCCTGGGAGGGAGGGAGCCACTGGGAGCCCTTCCGCAGATGAGGCATTTAGTTTGATATAGCAGCTCTGGGTGGGGGGCAGGGGATTTTCATCCCCACTGTGTAGAAGAGGAAACTGAGATTGAGACAGGTTGTCTTGTTCAAGGTTAAGTATTTGACTAAGACTGCAAGACTTCCAGTTTGGGGCTCTTCTTAACCAAAGCTTAGGTGTCCCCTGGAGATCATTCTTTTTTTTTGAGTTGGAGTCTCACTCTGTTGTCCAGGCTGGAGTGCAGTGGCATGCTCATGGCCACCCCAGCATTGACCAGCTGGGCTCCAGTGATCCTTCTGCCTTAACCTTCCAAGTAGCTGGAAATACAGGTGTGTGCTACCATGCCCAGCTATTTTTTTTTTTTTTTTGAATTTGAGTTTGAGTCTCACCCTATCACCCAGGCTGGAGTGCAGTAGCACACTCACTGCCACCCTAGCATCCACCTGCTGGACTCCAGCAATCCTTCTACCTCAGCCTTCCAAGTAGCCGGAACTACAGGTGCATGCTACCACACCCGGCTAATTTTTTTTCCCTTTTTTTTTTTTAGATTGGAAAATATAATTTATTTAAAAAGTAAATTAAAGAGAGAGAAGAGAGAGGAGATAGAGATCCACTTCACCAAGGTAGGGGAGGGGGCCAAAGCTAAGAAACATCGCAGCGGTGGCTCAGAAAGCCATGTGAACACACCAGAGTTTAGCAAAGCAATGGCCCTGGTTTTCAATTTATTTTAGAGACAAGGTCTCACCAAGTTGCCTGGGCTGGTCTTAAAGCTGCGGGCTCAGGCAAACCATTTGCCTCGGCCTCCCAAAGTACTGGGATTACAGGCAGAGCCACCGAGCCCGGTCAAAACACGTCAAGCTTTTTTTTTTTGAGTTGGAGTCTCACTCTTGTTGCCCAGGCTGGAGTGCAGTGGCACACTCACAGCCACCACAGCCTTGACCTGCTAGGCTCAGGTGATCCTTCTACCTCAGCCTTCCAAGTAGCTGAAACTACAGATGCACGCCACCATACCCAGCTAGTGATTTATTGTAGAGACAAGGTCTCACCAAGTTGCCCAGGCTGGTTTTGAACCCCAGGGCTCAGGCAGTCCTCTCGCCTCTGCCTCTCAAAGTGCTGGGATTACAGGCTAAGCCACCATACCCGGCCCGATCATTCTTACAAGACCACAAACACTATGATTCTCAGAACCTTCCAGAACAGGTGTCCCAAAGTGTTCTTAGGGGGGTCCTCCTAATTGGGCTGATCTGACCTCCAGTTTCCTGGGAGGTCCCTCTGATTGAGGGTTGGGAGGACCCAGATGGTATCTTCACCACAGACTGGAGCTCTAAGGGCTGAATTTTCCTTTGTCAGACCCAGGCCATGGGGCCTTTTCTTACTTATCTCAGCTGGGCAGCTGGGCAGGTAAGGGGAGTAAGTGATGTCACCCTGGCCCTGCTTCCCCACCCAAGGGCAGCAGGAGGGGGTGTTGGTCAGGGTGCTGAGCAAACATGACACTGTGTTCATCATCACAGCAGCCCCACCTGTATCTGGGCCCAGCCCTCACCCAGCCTCATGTGCATCCCTGCTGAGGCTGCAGGGATGGGAGATGGGTGGGGCAGGGTGGTCAGGCCCAGAGGGGAGAAGTCTGAATCCGAGGAAGCTGGGCACTGAGTCACTATTCAATGCCCTTGACTCCTCCTCAGCTTGTAGCCTGCCATTTCCTGCACTATCATGCCCCACAATGAGCACCTTCATTTTACATAGGAGGACACTGAGACCAAGAGAAGGAAAGTGCACTGAACTGAGAGGGATTTGAACTGGAGCTCGGGGTTCTTGGAGCCCAGGACCCCAAGTCTAGATGGGTAGGATAAGTCTAAGGGACCTGGGCTGGGCTGGAGCGAGGGAATAGAAAAAGGAGGAAAGGGTGTCTGAAGCTGGGTGGGCCAGGTGTGGACCTGTATCTGGGCTCCTATTCCCTGCTAGCCTTACTTCCCTGGGCCTGTGGAACTCAGGTGTGTATGGTTTTAACCCTGGGATGACTCTGCCGCACAGAGAAGAGGGCATAAGCCACCAAGTTCTCCACCCTGAGCACGAGGGGCTGTGCAGAAACGAGGCCTTTTTCATGGGCCCCAATATCTCTGAGGGGCACTGCAGTGTAGTACAAAGAGGCTTTGAATCCTGTTCCCTGTCTGTACTAGATAATTATATGGCCTCGAGCAAATGGTGTCACCTTTATGCATTTCTGTTTTATCATATCTAGACTGGCAATTAGACCCATTAGCAGAATTGTTGTAAGGAATAGAGGCAAAAGATGCAGAGGACCCAGTACAGGGCCTGGCTCAGGGATGGAAGTTTCTTTGTGTTAGTGAATGTTTGAAGGAATGAGGGATAGCTGAGCAAATCCTTCAAGAATTAGTAATTTTCAGGTTTGGGGGTCTGGGGACTGCTGTGTGAATATTGAAAAGTGGAGGGACACAAGGAGGGGCTGAAGAGGGAGGTCAGGACTAGATCATGAACGACCTTGAGCAGTGCCATGCTGGGAAGTTAGGACTTAATCCTGCAGGCCCAGGTTTTTAAAATGGACCCAGATATCAGTGAATTCCCTTTGGAGCTATATACAAGGGGGTGGTGTGAGCATCCTAGCATATGCACATGTTTCTGGGGAGAGTTTGAATCATAACTTTCCTTTTTGGATTTTTTGGGTTTTTTTTGAGACAGGGTCTCACTCTTGCTCAGGCTGGAGTGCAGTGGCACCATCACCACTCACTGCAGCCTAAACCTCCTGGGCTCAGGCGATGCTCCCACCTCAGCCTCCCGAGTAGCCGGGGCTACAGGTGTGCGCCACCAACCCGGCTAATTTTTTAAAGAGATAAATTCTCACTGTGTTGCTAGGCTGGTCTCAAACTCCTGGGCTCAAGCAGTCCTCCTGCCTTGGTCTTCCAAAGTGCTGGGATTACAGGCGTGAGCCACCATGCCTGGCCTTATACATAACTTTCATCATAGTTTAAGAAGGGTTAGTCAGTGACCCCCCAACAGGGTTGCAAAGCCCTGCTTTAGGTGATGGGAAAATGTGGAAGATGATATGTATTTCAGTCAGACTTGTGCTTCATTAAAATGGAAAGTAAACTGGGTATGGTAGCTCACACCTGTAATCCCAGCACTTTAGGAGGAGGATTGCTTGAACTCAGAAGCTCAAGACCAGCCTAGACAACACAGCAAGGCCTGCTCTCTACAAAAAATGAGCTGGGCATAGTGGCGTGCACCTGTAGTCTCAGCTACTTGGGAGGCTGAGGGGGAAAGATCACCTGAGCTCAGGAGGTCAAGACACAGTACTACCCCAACTCTGGGCGACAGAGTGAGACTCCAACTCAAAAAACAAACAAACAAACAAATTAGCCGGGTGTGGTAGCACGCGCCTGTAGTTCCAGCTACTTGGAAGGCTGAGGCGGAAGGATCGCTGGAGCCCAGCAGGTCGAGGATGCAGTGGCCGGGAGCGGCCACTGCACTCCAGTCTGGGCGACGGAGTGAGACGCCAACTCAAAAAAAAAAAAAAGAAAGAAAGAAAATATGGGAGAAAATGAAACTACTTTCTGTCTCCCAAAGGGAGAGTACTAAGAAGTGTGCTGGGGAAAAAAGCCATCCTGGGTACAGGCTGCCTGTGTGTGGGAGGGCAGGCTTGGGCAGAGTTTTGTCACCAGGATACTAATCCCCTCCTCTGCTCCTCCCTGCCCCCCAGGAGTTCCCTTCCCCAAGAACTTCCAGCAGGTCTGCACTAAGATCCTGACCCGCCTCTTCCGAGTCTTTGTCCATGTCTACATCCACCACTTCGACAGCATCCTCAGCATGGGGGCGGAGGCTCACGTCAACACCTGCTACAAGCACTTCTACTACTTCATCCGTGAATTCAGTCTGGTGGACCAGCGGGAACTGGAACCACTGGTGAGGCCAAGCCCCCACTGCCCTCCCCCACCAAGGCTAGCCTGTGAGTTTTCAGATCCAAAGCCTGCCTCCTTGAAGAGGAGGCATCTTATCCTCCCTCTCAGGACATTAAGGATCATGTAGCTGGTAGATGGACGCTTCCAGGATTGGAGAGCCCCCATCCGAAAAGTACCTGCTTCCTTCGCTGCCATCCCTGAGACATTCCCGGTGGTTGGATCTCAGAGCACAGATATCCACAGAGAGACTGTGATGTTCATTCAGCACTCCATTGCTCAGTACCTCCATGCCCAACCCTATGCCCAGATCTACAGGTGGGGAAACTGAGGCAGAAACAGGAAACAGGGTTCTGCCATCCCAGAGCCTCTATTCCAATGGCCAAGTACATAAATTGGGGGAAGGCAATTCATTTAACAATGGATTCTGTACTTTAATAGATAATTTATTCAAGTTTACAAACCCAGATCTATAACCTAAGTTGGGGCTGGGGGTGGGTAGGGGCCAGCCTCAGGAAGCAGAGAAGTCAGACCCTGTGGCTTGGGAAAGGGCTGCCCTGACTGACCCCTGTCCACCTTGTGTCTCTACAGAAGGAGATGACAGAGCGGATGTGTCACTAAGCCCAGGCCTGAACTTCGTTGCCTGTCCTTTGGACCATCTGAACACAGGGTGGCTGAGGGAGAGGACCCTCAGGAGTCTGGGGGTAGAGGGATCTGAAGGTCCTGGAAGCCCCCACATACCCAAACCCTCTAGCCTTCTGCTTCTCGGGAGACTGCCTATGTGTCCCCCTGACTGCCTGTGAACAGAGAGCAGGAGGGTTCTAGGTGGGCAAACAGAAGGAAAGCAGTGTTGAACCTCTGGCATGAAGTCTGAGGATGGGGTAGCTCAAAGGTTTCTTCTGTGTTACTTGATCCTTCTGTGGTGGTCCCCAGGTCTGTCTGGGGAATGTGAATGTGGCTGAGGTGACAGCAAGAATGGTGCCAGAACATGGCCAGCTTGTGTGTGAGGGAGCACAGATGCCGTGTGTGTGTGTGTGTGTGTGTGTGTGTGATGAGAGAGAGAGAGAGAGAGAGAGAGAGAGACAGACAGACTTTGACTGAACCATGTGTCTGTGAGGGCTAGTTGCCTCAGCCCCTCCCTGGCACATAGCAGGTCCTGCATATTGGCTGGCTGGCTGGCTGGAGGTTGGGGCCATCAGACCATGATCATCGTGATGGAGTGATGACAAGTCAGTGTCCCACTCAGTGTAGCTGATCATGTGTATGAGGGCACAACATGTGCTTACAGATGTCACTGTCTGCATTTGAACCTTCCAGGCTGCAAACTTTCATCAGCATGAGTCCTAGAGAGCTGAGGGAATAGGCAGGAAGGGATCCTTGTCTTGAATTCCTAACCCCTGCCCTGCCGCAGACACAGGCTTTGATTTGCTGAGCCAGAGATGCCTGTGAGCCGTCATTTCCTGCATCCCTCTGTCTCCAGGAGGGCCTGATCATAGATAGCTGTGGGGGATGATCCCTCACATCCACAAGGTCCCCTGGCCCTTTAACTGGGAATCATACACTCTGATTAGCTCCCAGAAACTACAGACCTGGCTCCTTGGATCTGAAGCCCAGCACAAAATAATCCTCCAGCCCAAGGAGCTAGTGGGACTTGAGATGGGAACTCTGACGTCTTATCCTCAGTCTCAGGACATTAAGGTTCATGTAGCTGCCATCCTAAGTACCTGTCCCCTTCCCTGCCATCCCTGAGACATTCCAGGTGGTTGGATCAGAGCACAGATAACCACAGAGAGACTGTGATGTTCATTCAGCACTCCATTGCTCAGTACCTCCTTGCCCAGCCCTATGCTCAGACCCACAGGTGGGGAAACTGAGGCAGGAACAGAGTTCTGCCCTCCCAGAGCCACTCTGGAAGACCAGGATGGAGAGCCAGAAGGGACTTGAGAATCATCTAGTCTCACCCTCTCAGCATACGTAGGAGGGAACTGAAGCCTGAAGAAGAGAGGGAAGAAACTGTCCAAGGCCTCACAGTGAGGCTTCTGTGGAGCTGGAGTGGAAGCCCGGGATCCTGACTCCTAGCTCAGGGTTCATCAGTTGTTACACAGAGATGCATGTGGAAAGAGAGTTTGACAGACCCTCTCCAGGGCACAATTGTTTCTACTTTGACAAAGGATTTCTAGTCTGATGCCAGAATGCTCCACTGCCTCTTGGGTTGGCTGGCGTTGTCTCCTGAGCCAAAACTGCAAGATCATGCCCCTCTCGGTGGCCTAGAAGCTGTCTGCCCTCTAGGGAAACAGATGGGGCTCTTGTGGCCAGGCAACTGGGCCTGGACTTCTGCCTCTGCTGCCTCCGGAGTGATCTGGCAACTTTGCCAGAAGCTCTGGAGTGAGGGGAGTCGGGGCTTCTCCCAGGTTGGACTGTGACTTGCAAGATGGATTCTAGGTTGTGGCAAGGGCTGACTGTGGGGAGGGTGGGTGGGAAAATCTATTTTTATGAAACAGAGGGAAGACTTTGTTATTTTTTTGTAAAATAAAAGAGGCAAACTAAAGCAGCCACTGGTGAGAAGCTGTGGTCTGGGTGCCACATGGTTCCTGGCAGACTGTGGAAAAATCTGTGCCAGAATGGGGCTGGGAGAGCTTTTTGTTCTGAGATCTTAGACCATGTGGAAGGCTGGCTTGTGTGGTCATGTCTGGCCCAGGTCTTCAGAGTGGGGACACTAAGATTCTCCCAGGTCTCTGGGAATTCTAAACCAAGCAAGACTAGGGTAGAGAGGGCTGGCCCCTACCTTCTGGGAACTCAATCTGATGGGAACCTTTCCTTGTTTCAGGTCACCTAGCACTGGCTATTCTCATTCCACCTCCCTTAATCTGGATGGATTTTTGGAGCTAGTGGGTAAAGGGACAGAGTGGAAATAAAGTCCCATCGCTGATCATAGGAGAGGAAGCCATTCTCAAGAGGAAGATATTTGTTGCTGGCTGGAGCTGAAACAAGGGTGGTTGGACATGGGGTTGACTCCTGAGCTTACTCCCCTGTAGACAACTATGTCTTGTGGCACAGGTTTTGTTGTCATTCCATAACCCACAAGCTGCCCGGACAGGGGTTGAGAAGCAGGCAGCTTGGTTCGTAAGAACCAGCAAAGGCCCATCTAGAGCTCTTCCCTCTACCTGCAAAGGAGCCAACCTGGCTTTGCACAGATGCTCTCCTGGGTTCGAGCCCCAGCCCAGCCTCTGAAGTTCCATGGCAAGTCCTTTCCTCCTCTAGACCTCACTTCTCCATCTGCTTCATGATCAAGAGTGGAAGTAAAGGACTGACTGATCTCTAAGCTCCTTCATTACTCACAGTCTGTGAATCCTTTACAATAATAACAAATAATAGCTAATGCTCACTGTGTGTCAGGCATAGTTCTAAGTGCTTGACATATATATATATAACAGCTTGTTGAATCAAGTATATCTTTGGTCAGCCGCCTGGCTCCCCTCCTAGCCCCTAATATCCCTCCCTTCATTCACTGATCTAAGATCGGAAAGGCCCTCCACTCTGCTGCCCCTTCTTCTGGCTCCCCAGAGAAGACCCAAGTTCAGCATTCTAAAAGGGTGCTGTTTGCACACCTTCTGTGACAGATCACTCATTACCTCCTCAGTCATTGGACAGCTCAGACTGTTACAAAGTCCACACTGGGCTCATTGTCATTTTGAAATACACCATGGCAGTGAGAATAGATTTATCTCAGAACTGTGTAACCCAAGGCCTGCACCTTACTGGGATTGTCTGTAAATACACCAGAAAGTCGACACACAAAACTGCTTTGAGAGATTCAGAAAGGGATGCTTAGAGAGGAACAGACAGAGAAAGGAGGAGAGAGGAAAGAGGCTCTCTTGATGCTGAGGAAAGAGCGCACCCCCATGAGGCAAAACTTAGCAGGAGAAGGTCCTGAGAGAGTCAGTGTTTTGGAGGTAAAGTGGAAGCTTGGTTGGGAAGTCAGGCTGGGCTCAAGATCCGTAACAATATTTGGGTCAGGGAACAAAGGAGTAAGCCATCTTCTCCACCCTGGGCACAGCATCTACCTGTTGAATTAAGTATACCCACCACCCTTGGCTCCCAGGAACACTGCAAGTCTCTAAGGTTTCCTGCTGCCACGCTCCTCCCTACCCCCCAGGGAACTGAAATGTTTGGTGAAATGAGCCACAAGCATGGCTGGAGCTTCACCTCCTTTGGGGGAGCCCTCCTTACTTTGAGTTCCCCCAGGGCCCTCATCTGAGGTTAAATGAACTGGGTTGCCATGTGGGGGGCATAGCAGGTTTGGGAACTTGGGTCATAGGTGCTGAATGACTCAGCACCAACTAGCTATTGAGAGGGAACAGGGAGCAGAACAGGAAGCCTCTGAAGGTTTGAAGCTTGGGTGGGCCTGGAAGGTCATGGGTGGAAAAGATCAGGATATATAGGGGCCTTCAGGATTCTGTAAGGGACTGAACACAGAAGCTTGGGAGAAGACTTCCCCTCTTCAGCCTTTCGCCAAGTTGGGAATCTAGCAAAGTCCTGAATGTTCCCTAATATTCCCAACCCCTTGCATCATACAGATGAAAAGACAGCCCAGAAAGGGGCAAAGGAATAAATGTGTGTCAGATAGATAATGGGAAGGAAGCAAGTCCAAGAGACTCTGTAACTAGTTTTGCTCACCAGACCCTCACAACAATTCTGAGTCAGGCAGGGAAGGGATGTTTACTTCTGTCTTACAAAGAAGGAAACACACTCAGAGCCAAAACCTGAATTAAATACAAGTCAGCATTCTCATTGCAACAGCAGCCTGGAGAGCGTGGGGTGTGGGGAGGATGGTTGAGGGATTAATCTGTTCACAGTTGTTTTTCTCCGAGAAATAAGCTTTTTAAAGTGTTTTGTGGTTTTTTTTTTTTTTTTTTTTTGAGTTGTAGTCTCACTCTGTCATCCAGGCTGGAGTGCAGTGGCATGCTCCCGGCCACCACAGCCTCGACTTGCTGTGCTCAGGCGATCGTTCCGCTTCGGCCTTCCAAGTAGCTGGAACTACTGGCAGGCGATACCACACCGGGCTTGTTTTTTGATTTAGATACGAGGTCTCACCAAGTTGCCCAGGCTGGTCTCGAACCTGTGGGCTCAGGCAATCCTCTTGCCTCAGCCTCCCAAAATGCTGGGATTACAGGCTTGAGTCACTGTGCCTGGCCTTGTTTTCTTTTGAACTACTGGGGATAATGTTTTACTAAAGGAGAAACTCCTGGTGGGAAATACATGGTAAAACTCTTATGGTGAAATTTCAACCTTTTAAAAAAGTTTACAGAATTACTCCACATTTTTTGGAAAGACCAGAAGCATTTCCCCATAGGTAAAAGGCTGGGCACTGTGGCTCACGCCTCTAATCTCAGCACTTTGGGAGACCAAGGCAAGAGGACTGAGTCCAGAAGTTCGAGACCAGCCTGGGCAACTTGGCGAGTCCTCCTCTCTACAATAAACAAAAAAATTAGCGGGCGTGTGCCGCGAACCTATAGTTCCGGTTACTTGGAAGGCTGAGGCGGAAGAATCGCCTGAGCCCGGCAGGTCGAGGCTGACGTAGCCATGATGGTGCCAATGCACTCCAACCTCAGCGATAGAGTGAGACACCGACTTAAAAAAAAAAAAAAAGCACGCTAAAACTCCCAGTAAATGTTAATTACACCCACCGCGCCCTGACCCTGCTGGCTTCCCAACCCTGCTCTCTGAAAAGAAAGCGTCGGAAGGAGCTAAACCCCACCCCCTAGCCAGCAATTCCCCGCCCCTCTCCTTTCACGCCTGCGCAGAACACTCAGCTCGCCTCTCTCCGAGTTTGCCATCAGGACGCAGGCGCAGCTCCGCCCACTCACGCCCCTTTCTGGTTGGCCCCGCCCCCTGGGTCTAACACCGCCCCTTCCGCGTTCTCGGGGAGCTTTGCGGGTAGGGTTGCGCGCGACCGCTCCTGCGGGAGGCAGCGAAGGTAAAGGCGAGACAGCGACTTGTTCCTCTGAGCAAAATGAGGTGGGGGTCTGTGAGTGAGTCCGTGTGCCCGGGAGGGTGCTGTCAGAGACTTCAGAGCGGCCTGAGGTCACGACCCGATTCTACTACTGAGGGACGCCAAAGGGGACGCTTTTTAGGAGTGTCCTCAGGGCTCCATCTGTGACCTTTCGGGGCTCTGTCTGTGCCGAGACCCGGGTGCCGTGTGTGCCTCGGTCGGGGCTCAGCCTGTGCCTAGGGTCGGACTTTGAGTTTTGACAGGTCAGGGCTCAGTCGGTGTCTGAGGTCGGAGCTTACTCTGTGAGCAGTTTGAGACTCAGTCTCTCCCAGGGATCAGAGCTGAGGCTGTGACTGAGCTCAAGGATCAGACAGTCCGACGTCACAAATAGTTTTCATGTGAGGAATTTACAAACTCTGGGTACTGCGTTATTTTAAAGTTAATTTTGTTTTCGTTTATTTTGCAATATTTAAAAACTCCTGACATGTGTGGGTGGCTGTCCAGTGGGAAGAGGTAATAGTGTCAGATGCAGTCTGTCTCCTTAGAGAGCTTCCAGGCTACCTGACAGTGACAGATCAGAGGGCATTGAGTGGGGGGGTTGTCACAGGAATGAAGTGTTGTTGGAAGTGATTGACCCAGGCAGTCCTGGGTTCAGATCTCATCTCTGCCACTTCCTAGCAGTGTGTCCTTGGATAAATTATTTCCCATCTCGGAGCTTCATATCTTCCCTATGAAGTGGGAATAATAGGGCCATTGTGAAGGTTGAATGGGATTATATGTAAGTCACCTAGTATGGCACCTGTCATGTAATGGGTGCTGAAGACAGGGGAACTAGGTCATTTTGGGCTTGGGTATTTTAGAGAGGTCCTGGGAGAAGAGTTGATGTGACCTGGACCTTAAAGCCTTAGTGGGATTTACAGGTGGAACTGACCTGGCAGGATGGCAAGGAAACTAATGCCTACGTACCACTGTCCATGTGTCAGGCACTCCACTGGACAGTTGGTGTACGATGTCTAGCTAGATCCCAGCCATCAGCTAGGTGCTTTCAGTTCACTATCCTTAGCTTCAGCCCCTCTCAAGAGGACTGGACTGGGAGTGATGCAAGGAAGAAACCCACGGTTGAGTTTTTATCTGGAACTGAGCCAGCTAGAGACTTTGGTGCCCTCTCAGCTCTTTTTCTGTCATCCAGAGAGTTGGTTGAACGCTTGACTTTGTCTGGGAGTCCTATTTCTAATACTTGAGCAGATATTGACAATTGGAGGGCCTGGCAACTCAGACTGCGTGGGGTCAAAACATGGGAGAGGGAAGCTCTGTGAACAGGAGCTGTTGGAATCCAGCACATGCTCAAGAGGTGCATGTGGTGTCCTGGGATGTGGTCCCATAGTAATTGAACAACTTGGTTCCTTTTGCATCTTCTTCGTGGGTGCTCCTGTGATCGCCTGAGACACTGCTCAGAATCTTTGGTGGGCTTCATTGTCTACTGTATAGAGTTTGGACTCTTCAGGCTCATAGACAAGTCCCTCCATAATCTGTCCTCAGACTTCTCTCCTGCCCTGCTTCCCTTTGTTTTCCCAAGCCTTCACCTTGT